GTAATACAAAGTTAACTCTCTTGCTATGAAAATCAGACCACCACACCTTCCGCCACTGCACCATCACAACCTCCACCGCCGCACCATCCCGCTCCACCATCACAACTTCCACCATCACAACTTCCACCACCACACCACCCCGCTTTCACACAACCCCACCTCCTTTCAGTTTTCCTCCTGCACCACGCCTCTCACCTCCCCCTCCTTCACAACCTCCTGCATACTCAGCACTGTATCCCCAACCTTTCATCCCATCCCCCCCCCCAAACAGTTTCCATTGAGCAATTTGAGCAACTCAAAGCTCAGTTCCTGCAGCAGCAGCAAGAAGCCAATGCCACAACCGATACCTTCATTAAGCAACTTGTGAAGAAAGAAGAAGAGCATCAAACCTCCAACGAACTCTACCACAAGTTGGCATCAGATCTCCAAGTCATAAAAGCCCAAATAGAGGACAAGTCCACACCATCATACGAGGAATTGCAAGCCTGGTGGAGATTGTTCTCCGCTCCTGCCTAGCACTACCAAGTCGAAGCAGTTATTCGATTTTACACAGTCAACCTCAACTATCACCACTGAACTTTCGAAAGAGCAATTTCAAGCAAATTATCGTCTGGACTCAACTCTCTCGCAAAAGATTGCATTGATCACATGATCCCCAATGATATAAAACCCATCATCAACAGGGCGATAAGGCAAGGAATGGAAAAAACACTTTCAATCATCTGCTCCGAGTACAACTACTGCCTCAATATCGTAAGAAAAGATGCCTCAAGGTAAGTTTAGGGTTGACGCCCAATAAATTATTTTCTCACCCCGGACCGCTGAATAGGTCCATGCCACTTGCATTTGCGGGCTTATCATTATTATTTTTTTCTGCAAATCTTCCAAGACCGATGGAGATTCATCAAACTACCGTAAGAAGGAGGATCCCAACAAGACTGGAGACTACAAGAAAATCACATCCAAAAGGTAGTATGACGACACATTGGACAGGGGTTACGACTTCAATCGCACTGTAAAGCGTCCTCACCACAACTCCGACTTCAAACAATCTGATATCACCAAGGCTTCAATATCAAACCTCGGATACAAAACCGAATGACGAGTCACTTTTTTCGATTTCATTCATCCCTGTCATCCTCTCGAATCTCGTATCTCCACCTTCCACCAATGATTTTCAACTCGCTCTTTTCACTCTTCAGGGATCCTCTTCCTGACTCCATAACCCCGACAATTTCTTCGCCGCTTCAACCTCCTCCATCTTCTCCAACTAATTATGAATCCTCTCAACTTCTTCCATAAGATACTCGCATTTAGTTTTGCAATGGATTCATCACGGTGTTTAACTTCATTTCGTTGCAACTAAGCATGTACCAGTTAAAAAGATAATTGAAATTCGTTGAATGCTGAAAAATGTTTACCCAAAAACCTATTTCAAAAGAGTTCTCCAATGTGTTAAGTCCCCCCCTACTTTTATTCTTAATCACTCTCTACTCCCACATCATTCCGACTTCATAACCTTCTCAGTTTCTCAACTTCTATCCTCGGGCGTAATCGAACCTTCACCTTTACCAATTGTAATCAATCTCGTCCTTGCTACTAGAAGCTCCTTCAAAACTTTATTTATCTTAAATGTTCGATTTGTCAACCTTTTCATCTCCTTTCCTGAATTTCATTATGAATCCATTGATGACATTGTTGCACCTCTCTCTGGTCCACTTAACCAAAATTTCCTCTCCTGCTTTGATATAAAGAATGACTATTATCACATCCCTATCCACCCTCTCCACATACCATATCTCGTTTTTCAATGGGACAACATCCAGTATCAATTCATAACTATTTGTTTTAGCATCTTCTCTGTCTGCTGGATATTCACCACCATCATGCAGAAAATCATGGAAGACTTACGACTTAGGCATGTTTTTGTCACTTCTTACATCGACGGCTCAGCACTTGCAAAACCCAATCTACCTCTATTAATTTGACAATCCTCAAACTACGTTGCCCTGCTTCACCATCTCGTTTTTTTTCTCAGTATCCATAAATGCGTTTTTCTCCCATCCCAAAGGATTAACTTCTTAGGTTTTACAATCGACTCCCACCATAAAAGAATAAGAGTCCCTGATGGCAAAATGAAAAAAATACTCAACTTAATTACATCAACACCTTCCAACCGAACTCTTACGAAACTCGCAGGAAAACTGGTAACGCTTTCAAGAGTCTTTTTACTCGCCTCTCTTTTCATTTTCTCTCTCTATGATTCAATTTCTCCTAGCCAATTGGGACATGCTTGTTCAAATTTATAATGATCTCATCGCTGACCTGCATTGGTGGCTAAGTTACCTTCCTCACCTACTGGGTCGTCTTTTGACCATCCGAAAAACAACATGCCCAATCTCAACCGACACAGCTGTTTTTCAAATCGGAGCTATCGTCACTCCCTCTCTTCTTATTCCCTTCACTCTAAATCAATGTCTACCTCAAAAATATTTTTAAACTTCCTGAACCTATAGGGAACTCTTTGCTATTTACGAAACTTTTCCTTCCTCAAAACTAATCACCCACACCTTCTCCTTTCACATCCATCATACTTTTCTCTGATAGTCAATCCGTCATAGTTTTTTTTTTCACCAGTCTCCGTTCATCGGATTCTATCTTCAATTCATGGTTCCACAAAATCACTTCAATTTTTTGAAATCATGATATGCTTCTTACACCAGTCTGAATTCCAATATTTTTTAACTCTGTCGTTGATACATTGTCTAAAACACATGATAATACTGACTGGGGCATCACCACCCATGTTGGGCACGATATTTTTCAATCATAGACGCTCCAACCATGGACCTTTTCGCATCGGACCATCATCACACCTCTCCTCTATCTTCAATCCATGGTTCCACAAAATCACTTCAATTCTTTTAAATCATGATATGCTTCTTATACCGCTCTGAATTTCAATATTTTTTAACTTTGTCGTTGATACCTTGTCTAAAACACATGATAACACTGATTGGGGTATCATCACCCATGTTGGGCACGATATTTTTCCAATCATAGATGCTCGAGCCATCGACCTTTTCGCATCGGACCATCATCACACCTCTCCTTTTTTCATCTCCGAAATCCGGTATTCTAAGTCCTCTTTGATCGATTCCCTTTCCATTGACCGGAACGATCTTCCATCTCAACCTTACATATGACTTTTCCCCCCTTCGTCCCTGCTCCACGAGGCTCTCTCTCGAACAACTCTTTCTCCCGCCACCTACCTACTCATTTTTCCGCTATCTTCTAAAGTTAACTGGTTACCCTGCATCCTTTCACTCAATACCATCCAAAAATTTATAATCCCGAAATCAGAATACTCATGTATTCCAAGTCCCACGGTTTCTTTTTCCTGTCCTAACCTCACAATAATAGGTCCTTCGGTCGTTCCGTTCTCAACCTAGACCCTGATTCTCAACCATCATGGACCCAGTTATAACTCACTTGCATTCGCATCACTCTTCTCCTCCACTTCGCGTTTCCACCCACGTCGCATCCCGTATCCATGCCACATAATGTTTCCATAATGTTACACGTTCTCTGCCTCATCGTTTTTCCTAGACTCCAACCTTCCTCTATCCCTGCTCGCAACCCCCCAATCCGGAAACTATGACCACTCTCGCCTTCATATACTCCCGCCTCCCCAAACCACTTCTCTATCCGCTTATTTGAAGCCCCACCATATAATGCATTTACTCCTCTTCCAATTCGAAATAAGTACCATTTTCTAACATCCACACCCACATTCTCATATGCCAAAATTAATTATGGAAGAATCCCTAAGAAAGTCTCTCCTTCAGTACTAGGCTCCCTCAACCTAATAAGAATTTTTCCTCCATGTTTATCTGTCTTTGTACATCAAAGACTTACTTCACGCCTTGCTATATCTATCTCTTTGTATTGCAATCTCTCCCCACATCGCTGCCAACTCTCCCACAAGTACAAAAACATCGCAGCATCCCGATAAGTCTCCGCCTCTCGCACCTTTTTTAGAATTTTCACCTTGTTTCGAATGTATCCAATAATTGTAGCTAATTTTTTCCACTCCAAGGGGCGTGCAGATTCCTTAATCACACTTGTGCTCATATTATACTCTCTATACGCCTTCCTAAACGATTTTACTCGACTACTCTGATAAGGATTTTCACCCTCCTCCCGTCCGAAGAGACAGAAACTCCCACTCAAACAATTTATCACCGCATGCACAGTTGTAGGTGAAACCATGGGTTCTCCTTCGCCATCTGTTGTTTGACACCGACTCTCTATCTCCACTAACCACTGACCACTCAGGAACGCCAAAAAATCTAAATCGTTGGATGTCATGCAACTTCGTTCAACCCCATTTCTCTCAAGCTACTCATTCAACCCAAGAAAAAGCTTCCTCATTCTGTTCCCTTTCCTGGGCCAAATTCTTCAATCACACGGCTGCTCCACTCTAACTCGGCTTGGTAATTTCCTGCTATCTCTGGTGTCGCTCGCCTTTGACGTCAGCTCCTGTCACTCATCCGCTCGTTTCACCACTCCCTGCAAGATGACAAGTCACTTGTGGGATGATGGAGGGATTTTGGGCGGTGGAGGAGGTGTGTAGGCCTGAGGCCCAACTCTATGACTCCCTTATGAGCGATTTGGCATCATCTTCGACTTGACCATTTACTATTTTTTCTGGAGTGGGCATGGGCAGCAATTCTCCTAGAGCAGGCCCTGTGGTTGGTTTCAACTCCCACGACCCTGGTTTTCATCTTTGCAGACCCACAGTTCCAACCGCGTGGGAGTTGCCTTTTCATCCTTAAATATCAGAATCACGGTTGATTCTCTTCATCTACAGTTAGCTAGTTTTGTTTTTTCATCGATTATTCTATTTTTCAAGATCTACGGTGGGAGCATCTACTGAGCAATATCATCGGCACCTGAGCAATATCATCGACACATCTCGAGGTACCATCGGGACTCACCCACTAGGAAGCAGTCCCTCGCAGGCCGGCCTCTGCTACTTCCAGGAGCAGTAAGAGCATAAGTAACTGGTCCTGCAGCAAGAGCACAAGTAACCGGCACATGACCCGTCGCAGCAGACTGTGTCAACTCATGTTGCACGCTCTCCGGATTCCTGGAGCAGCAAGAGCATAAGTAACTGGTCCTGCAGCAAGAGCACAAGTAACTGGCGCATGACTCGTTGCAGCAGACTGTGTCAACTCATGCTGCACGCTCCTCGGATTCCTCCCCCACTCTGCGCAATCGTGTAGGCAAACCTGCAAGTCATATCAAGACAGTCAGCCAGTCACTTCGTTCACTCTCTTTTTGGCAAAGAGGGCCCACCCGCACTCCATTTTCCTGCGGTGTGTGGGCCTGACTCTCTTCTGAGAGATCTGGTATCATCTTCGACTTGACCATTTACTATTTTGGGCCTCGCCACAGCACTCTTGAAACGGAGAAATATGTCAAGAGTTGTCAGGCGTTCTCAAGAGTTGGGTTTTCAAGAGTTTTCAGCCCCTCGCCACACAACACTCTCGAAAAGGCCATGCCTTTAGACACAGTATGAAAAACGACAGTCATACAACTTTTTTTTCTTTTTTTTTTTTCGTAGATCAATTTTGTTTTTTGGGAAAATTTTCGAAATGCCCCTGAAGTTTGCGTTTATTTGCGGCGTGCCCCGCTGACGACCAACTTACCTTGTCGCGCCCCTCTGACGACGAATGATGTTTCCATAAAACCCATGACGTCGTTTGGGCCTGAAACATGTTTCATATGCCCCTACCGGTACCAGTACCAAATTTTCAGTATGCCCTTACCAGATGGCCGTTGAGAACCAACACGAAAGTTTCCCATATGCCCTTATTGGTACCGTCCATCTTTCCAGCGAGCCCCTGTAGCCGTTGTTGACACTCGCAGTCTTTCCCCTGGCCCTGGGAGAGATGCTACTGGGGCATATCATAAATTTGGCGATGAGCATGGACACACACGTACACACACACACACACACACACACACACACACACACACACACACACACACACACACACACACACACACACACACACACACACACATGCACGCACACATGCACGCACACACATGACACACATACACACACGCGCGTGCACACACACACACACACACACATACACACACACGCACACACACACACACATGCACGCACACACACGGCACACATACACACACGCGCGGACACACACACACACACACATATACAGAAGCGCGCGCGTGCATGGGGGATGATGCTAAGAAGACAACCATGGTGATGGTAAGGAGGTCGACAATCGAGGAGGAGAGGGAGGGGTGACGAGGAGAAAGTTGGAGGAGGGAGGAACGAGGGAAGAGGAGGGAAGAGGAGGAACGAGGGAAGAGGAATAGGGAGGACAAAGACTATGACGATGACGGATGAGGATAGAGGATGGAGGCTGGAGGAGAACAGAGGAGAGCCACGAGCATGGATGGAGGATGAGGGAGGAGGGCGATAAGCATGGATGGAGGAGGAGGGAGAAGGGCAATGAGCACGGATACACATACACACACACACACACACACACACACACACACACACACACACACACACACACACACACACACACAAAATCAGTTTTATGTCTGTTGGTCTTTCTTCTGTTGTCTGTCCTCCCCCTGAATTTTTCTAAGTATGTTTTGTGTGCTCAACTGAGCACCCTTGAGTAGCGCCAAACAGTCGGTGGTTCCTCGTTTGGAGTGCCTACTGCACTCTTATGGGGGCCGCTCGGTTAGGGATGTCTGTGTTGCCTGTAGGTAATGACGGATGGTCGTCGGAGTGTCCCCCTGGCTCAGCGAGTGGTGGGAACCAACAGTCTGCGGGGTTGTATCGTGATGTGAGTAGGCCATGTGGTGTTTTGCTCCATGTTGGATGTGTAGACTGTCTTGTCTGCGCTCTGCCGCGGTCTTGCTGCCCATGCTGCTTGCTTTTCAGGTCGTCCTCGATGCTTTGCTGCCTTCCCGCCTACCCGCGGGTTATGCCTCCCGTGTCTTTTGCTCGTGTGCCTTGTGGTTTGGTAGCCTTGTGGCGGTGCCTCGTGCTTCGCTGCACGGTTGCTGAGCTGCTTGTCTGTGTGCTCTGTCGGCCTCCTGTGTCCTTTGCATGCATGCCTTGTAGTTTGGTTGCCTTGTTGGTGGTGCCTTGTGCTTCACTGCACGGTGGCCGAGGTGCTCGTTTGCTTGCCCTGTTGGCCTTCCGCGTCCTTTACTTGTTTGCGTGCTTTGTAGTGTCGTCGCCTTGCTGATGTTGCCTTGCGCTTCACCGCACGGTTGCCGAGCTGCTCATCCGCTTGCTCTGTCGTTCCTTGCAGTCGCCTTTGGTGATAAGCGGTTGGGCTGCCTCTACTGTGTTGCCTGGTGCTCCACATGGTTGTTGCCCGCTGCTATGTCCCGCTTGGGGACAATCTGCCTTCAACATGGGTCAAATGGTTCATGACCCAAACCATCAAATACGGGGATTCCGAAGATTGTCGAGGGTTCAGCCTCCTGATGAGTCGGTGCAACTCTGACGAAACAATCTTTCATCACCAGTTTTATTATTATTTTTATTTTTATTTTTTCAGTTTTTGCCTTGTTTATACTTGTATTTTTTTCGGGTGTTGTTTTTGCATTGTTGTCCTTTGTCTTGTTATTGTTTACCTCGCTGCCTTATGCTGTTTGCTTGCCCATCCGTCTACTCCATGCCTTTCGCCCAGTGTGCTATGTTGTTTTCTCTTGTTTGCCTGCCTTGTATGCTTGTTGTTGTCTGCCGTCCTATATCCCTCGTGCCTTCAAGCCTTTGTTCATTTTTTTGTTGCCTGCCCTGTCTGCTCCTTGTGTGTTGTTTGCCCTCTGTCCTCCCCCATGCCCTCCAGCCTATGTGTTCTCTTGTTGTTTGTGCCTGTGTTTCGTTGTTGTTCCTTCCTTGCCTTTGGACTCGACTCCACTCAGATGCGTATTCTCCTCCTGTGGTGTTGCGATGGTATGGTGCATGGTTTTTATTGTGCAGAGGTCTCCGCAATATGTGTTCACGCACACACACACACACACACACACACACACACACACACACACACACACATACACACACACACACACAACACACACACACACACACACACACACATATGCAGACGTGCGCACGTGCATGGGCAATGACGCCACGAAGACGGCCATGGTGATGGTTAGGAGGTCGACAATCGAGGAGGAGGAGAGGGAGGGGTGACGATGACGGACGAGGATAGGGGATGGAGGCTGGACGAGAAGAGAGGAGAGCGACGAGGACGGAGGAGGAGGAGGAGGGAGGAGGGCGATGAGCATTGATGGAGGAGGAGGGAGGAGGGCGATGAGCATTGATGGAGGAGGAGGGAGGAGGGCGATGAGCATGGAGGCACACACGCGCGCGGGCATGCTCCCCTTCACACGGTAGCCGTATGCAGTCCAACGCATAGACCACCAACACGGCGAACTCGAAGACTCACTGTTGCACCGTTTTTCTGTGTCGGCGCGTGAAATGCCTACCACTTCGAATTCGAATTCCTGCCGCCACTGCTGCAAGGGCATCACAGAAAGATGTGTGCCCCTCGCGAGGGCATTTCAAGGATGGACCGACGAAATGCCACCAGCGGTCCAGTAAGGGCATATCAGAAAGTTACGTCCCTGTTACGCCCCATGCTGACAGGGGCCTGCGGAAAATTTCAGAGGCCCGAGGGGCACAACAGGTTAAGTCGGCCTTCACAGGGGCACGCCGCAAATAAACACAAACTTCGGGGGGAGGGGCACAACAGGTTAAGTCGGCCTTCACAGGGGCACGCCGCAAATAAACACAAACTTCGGGGGCATTTCGAAAAGTTTCCCTTGTGTTTTTCACATGGCGTCAGGATAACGGCCTGACAACTCTTGGAAATCGATACTCCCTCAAGGGTTCGGCGAAGGACGCTTGAAATCGCACGAGTTCCAGGCTGGGGTTGCCAATCTTTCGAGAGCTGCTCTTGAAAGGGTTTCAAGACCCACTCTGACTGGTCTTGACTGCCCCAAGTGTCAAGAGGCTGTGTGGCGATGCAGCAACTCTTGAAAATGAGTTTTCAAGAGTGGTGTGGTGAGGCCCTTTATCACAAGAGTTGGGTTTTCAAGAGTTTTCAGCCCCTCGCCACACAGCACTCTGAGGCTGGGCATGACGACAAACGCAGAGAGAAAGTAGTCGCTCCCTTGCAACGACCCAACAATTTGAAGGCATCTTGGCATTGATGCGGTCCAGGTACACGTAGAATGCTGTGTTCTCTCTCTCTCTCTCTCTCTCTCTCTCTCTCTCTCTCTCTCTCTCTCTCTCTCTCTCTCTCTCTCTTTCTCTCTGTCTGTGTGTGCGTGTGTGTGAATCGGCCTCGCTCCACTACTCTCGAAATGTGCAAAACGAGAGTGAATTTCCCGCTAGAACATGGAAAGAGCGAGGCCTTATTTGTGTGTGTGTGTGTGTGTGTGTGTGTGGCCACGTTCATAACCATTAGTTACAGGTCGGTTCTTCGGGATATCCGTTGAAATTCGAAGGATACGCGGAACTCTCTCTCTCTCTCTCTCTCTCTCTCTCTGTGTGCTAGTGTGCGTGTTCTTTGTCGCTCGCAGAGAGAGAGACAGAGAGACTGCCCGGGTTTTGTGTGTGTGCGTGTGTCACACACACACACCGAGAGAGAGAGAGAGAGAGAGAGAGAGAGAGAGAGAGAGGGAGAGAGAAATGTTCCTATACCTTGCAAGCTTTAGGTGCAGTTCGAATGTTGTGCCGGGGGGGGAGAGAGAGAGAGAGAGAGAGAGAGAGAGAGAGAGAGAGAGATTTCGCTGTGCCACGTGGGAAAGGAGAATCGGGATTGCGAGGAGGGGAAGGAGGAGGATCTGGATCCCGATGGTGCCTTTTCCCTTCCTCGGAGTTCTCTTTTTTTTTTTTTTTTTTTTTAAAAAAGGGCGGCAGTCGTGAGACATCCATAGTTGACCGGCCCTAAGTCCTCTCCCTCATCCCAATCCCAGTTCATCTCCTCCCCCCTTTGCGACCGGGATCGCAATCTCTCTCTCTCTCTCTCTCTCTCTCTCTCTCTCTCTCTCTCTCTCTCTCTCTCTCTC